CGGGTCCCGGCCCCTGCGGCACCGAAGCAGTTCTCTGCAGCCTTTCTTCCAAGCGGGGCTCGCCCTTTGCCCTGCTGTGCCTCCAGCCTGCCAGCTCATGGAGCCTCTCCCGGGCAGCGTCTTCCTGCTTGGCTGCATCGGGCAGGAGCCAGTTGGTTGCAGACCCCTGTGTGCAGGACCACGGCCTTAATGTGCTGCCTGGGAGCTGACCCAAAGCTGCCAGGGACTCTGGTCCGACCCTGCCCTTTGCCAAGGAGGCTGCTGTCCCAGTCCCTGTGATAATCCTCCCTTTTTCCTCCCCAGTTATACCAGCTGTTGCCCCCAGGACACCACAACAGTTGCTTTATTGAAGGCCACGCTGACTCCAGCACAGCAGAGAGACTGTAAGGGATGCAATTAGCCTGGCACAGCCCCCTTCAGAAAAAAACAACATGGCCCTTTTATTCCATTTACTTTGCTTAATTCTTTCCCTTAGAAACACAGTCCAAAGCCCTGTGGAGGGCATGGGCCAGGCAGGCCAAGGGTTGCCCATACATCTTTGCGCTCCCCAGAACCAGGCAGACTGACAGGGGTTTTGTTTGCCCTGTACGCCTTCCCGAAACGGTCGCTGAAGAGTCTTGCTCTCGCCCAGCCGTTGGGCTCTGCACGCAGCCTCGTGTAGCCCAGCGCTGGCCACTGTACCCTCCTTGCTCTCACCCCAGCAAGTGGTGAGACAAGGCATCTGATCTGCCCTGGCAGCGGGAGCACGCCTGCTGCCCATCATGCTGGCCTCAGGGCAGCCCCAGGAGCAAGACCCCAAGAAAGCTTCAGCCTTGAGGTGAAAGAGCTGGAGGCAGCTGGGAAAAGAGGGAAGAATCAAGGCCTGAGTTGTCAGGCAAAAGGTTCAAAGATGTCCCTCTGCATACTGAGGTGGGATGGTGCAGGTTCGTGTCCCTGCAGCTTGCTGGTGCCTGTAGTGCCTCCTGCACAGGAGATGGCTCCTCTTAGCTCCTACTCTGTTTGTCCCCTGCAGCCTGGCCCTGTTTTCTTTCAGCAGAGGAAGGGGCATTTGATCCAACCAGCTGCTTGGAGACTGGAGCTGCTGCCTGTGGTTGATCTCTTTGTGTCTGCAGGATCCACTTGATGGCTGGGCGGGTTCCCCAGGGTGCAGACCGGGCAGCAGTGGCACGCGAGATGGAAACCACCTTCACTGAGAATCTCAGATACGCTGCTGACCTCCTGGCCCAGGTAAGCGGGGAACGGGTCCTGCTCCATGGGTGCAGCTCTTGGCGTACTGAGGATGGAGACTCCCCCACCAGCATGGCACAGGGAGGGAGCACTCCTGGCTGCAGAGGTGACAGGATGCTCTGCAGAGTGACATTACTGTGTTACAGGAAGACATGATCGGACTGGTGGAGCCTATTAACAACCGCATCACTGACCCTTGCTACTTTCTGAACACCCCACACCAAGGTAAGGTGGACATCTCTCCCCAAAGTCTCCTCTGAGGGAGGAGAAAGATCCTCAGTCTGAAAGGCAGGAGGTTGCCTCACCTGCAAGGAGATGCTGAGGGAGCACAGCTGATGAATGAGAGTCTCAGGGCTTCACCATGAAGCTTCCAGCCTGGAGGTGACGGTCTCTCATTTCTTGCACCCTTAGCTGCTGCCATCCTGGAGAAGGTGGGACGGCCCAACTTGAAGCTGCAGCTGGTGAGTCAGCATTGAAGATCTCCAGTGTCCCTCCACCAGGGAACCTTGCACAGGCACACAGGGGAGTCCCAGGGGCTGTGGGCTTGTTATCCCCTCCTGGGGACATGGGGAAGGACAGGGACCATAGACCAGCCATCCTTGACCACTCACTGCTCAACAGCTGCAACATCCATCTCTTCTCTCCCACAGGACCTCTTTCACTGCCAGATCATGGATGGGAATTTGTCACGCAACCTGGAGACGTATTTCCCGCTTATTGGTAACACCCTGCACCCAAACCAGCTCCTCTGCAGCCATGGAGCAGGAGTGGCTTTGATGTGGGGCTCTCCTGCCCCACACGCTGCTGCGGGTGGCTGGGGGCATGGAGCTGCTCTCAGGTCACCTTGTCTTAGGCCTAGAGAAGGCTGTGGGCAAGGCTGCCTTGGGCAGGGCTTCTCCCATTCCCTCCCTAGGTCATATACAGATTGCACAGGTGCCAGGGCGGCATGAGCCTGACAGCCCTGGGGAGCTGAACTTCCCCTACATCTTCGAGCTCCTGGAGTCCCTCAGCTACACTGGTTACGTGGGGTGCGAGTATGCTCCGAAAGGTGAGTGGGCCTGTGGGTGGTCTGAGCCCTGCTGGCAGATCCCAGCAAGGACCAGTTGGCTGGTTATCCAAAGCCAGGCAGGTCCTAGGGGGCGGCAGGTAGTGGGCAGAGTCCCTACCTGGGGACAAGATCCCTGCCCAGAGCAGAAGCTGCTCCAGCTTGCCTGGAGGTGCCAGCAGGAGACCTTGTCTGTCACTGCAGGAAATACCCTGGAAGGTCTGGGCTGGCTGCGCTCATACTGGGAGAGCCGAGGGCTGCAGCATGGTGGGACCAGCAAGGCAGCAGAGTAAAACAAGGAAATTACTGGAATAAAAGTCAAAGCAATGGCTTAACATAGGAGCATGTTTTTCTTTGCTGTGACTTGGGGATGGTAGGATGATTCCTACAGCAATGTTGGGAGCATCTATGTCGTATTTCCCTTTCCTGGGCCCTACTGGGCGAGCCCAAGCAGTTGGACCCTCATCAACTCAAGTACCATCTGCAGCATGCCATATTTGGGGATGGCTTGGTCAGCACCGTAGGTGACTTCAGGTACACAGGAGAACCTTCACTTCCAGTCTGCAGGGGTCTCCAGGGAAGGGTTTCCAGTCTCCCCTGCTTTGGGGAGTATTCACTCTATGGGAAGGGTGTGAGGTTTCCCAGTCCAGCTCCAGCGGGTGCCTGGAGTTGTGGGAAGAGGGCTCTGGGTTTCCAAGTCCTGCAGTTCTTGAGGCTGCTGCAAGTGCCCAGCACTGAGCCTGCAGCAGATGCAGAAAGTGAAGTGAGCAGCTCCCTCCCAGGCTGCCCAAACCAGGATAACAGGCTGGGGGCTGCCTGCCCACAGACACTCGGAGTTGTCTGTGCTGCTGCTCCTCCTCTGGAGCAACTATGAGGCTTTGGTGCAAACACAGCCAGGGCTGCCTCTGCATCCCCTACAGGAGGCTTTCCTCATCCTGGCGTATAGCACGTGAGTGGGGATCTGGTTCAGTTTATTTCACAGATACATCAATGGCTTTAATGTACATCTCCATAAAACCTTCCCCTGGTCCAGTTCACCCTCCTGTCCCATGTGGTGCTCTCCTGATGAAAGCAAAGGGCCAGAAGTGGGCAGCCTTGCTGCCCAGAGCCCTGAAGTCCAGGAGTCTTTCCACCTAAAGCAAGGGCACTGTGCGGTGCTGCCCTGTGCAGAAGATGTGCTGTGTGTGCTCCAAGCTGCCGTGCAGGCAGACCTCACCTGCAGATGCCAAAGCCATGTCCCTGAGAGTCGCTCTGCTTCAGCCAAGCCACCGCAGCCAAGCTCCTGCCCTTGTGGTTCGGTTCAAGGTCACCGAGTATCAAACCCACCGAAAACAGCGCACTGAGGGCCACACCAGCCAGCCAGCGAGCAAGGGAGGTGCACATCCTCAGGCTCCGCAGTTCAGTTCCCAGGTGTGCTGCTGGCAGCGCTGCCTGCAGTGCCAGAGCACAGGTCCCCCTCCCAGAGGCCTCTTCATCCCCATCGTCACCCACGGCACAGCTGCGCCGAGAGGTCCAGTACACGTGTCACTCCAGGATGTGGGTGCCAGTGCTAGAGCAGGCCTGTCCAGAGGTTGAAGCAGGCTGTGTTGATAACTGACTCCAGGTGGTGGTAGGTGGACACAAGCTGTGGCAGAGGGCTCTCGCTGTTCTGGGGCTGCACTGGGAATGGCTCCCGGAAAACCACAGTGAGGCTCTGCAGGGAAGGAGGAGCAGCAGGTCAGGGGACAGGATTCATCCAAGCCCTGTGCAGTCCCTAGCCCAGGTGTGTGGGCACATTTTTGGCGGTGTCGGGCAGATACTGGGAGAAATCTCAAAATGCCAATGGCACTAAGCTAGTGCCTCCTCCTGTGACAGAGCATGTTTGAGCCTCCTCCCAATTTTCCTGGTGGAAATTAGGTGCAAGAACTTGCCCACTCCCTCTGTCCCAGCCCCCATGCATCTGCAGTTATATCAACCCCAGCAGCAGCCTCAGGAGAGCAGGGGATCCTGCTGCCTCCACAGTCATAGGGGCTTCCAGGGAAATTAGAGGGAAATTTCTTCTTCTAAGGCAAAGAGTAGGAGTGCAACAAATGGGGAAGGGGAGGAGATTAAACGTAATAACTGCAATCCTAAAAATAAATGTTGGCTGCTCCATTCTCATTAGTGACTGTACTGACAAGGCAGGGCAAGGGCAGAGGGGAGCAGAGAACAGGGTTCGGAAGAGAAGGCTGCAGGAACTGAAGCAGAAGACAAATGTGAGCGTCTCATTTGCGAAACAGCAAATGCACCACCACCACTTATGAGGGAAGAGAAAGCCATTTGTGAGCAGCGTGCAAGGCTTTAGAGCAGGCCTGGAGAGAATGAAGCACGGGGAAAATGCAGCTCTGTGCTAACGCTAGAGTTCTCTTTGATAAGGTAATATTTCTAGACAAAGGAATCATGGTGTATCTTATCTGAGCTTCAGGAAGGATTGGATGTAGTGCCACATGGGAAATTTAGGTAAGCTGAAAAGATAGGAATTAACGCAAAAATTAGAAGGTGAAGATGGTAGTGCTGAAAGGGGAAGAAGCAGGCTGGAGAGAGGTTACAAATGGAGTTCCTCCAGGACACGTTTTGGAACTCACGTTGCCTAGTATTTTAATGAGTCTGGCACAAAGATGAGGAACATGCTGATAAAATTTGAGGCACTAATACAAAAGAGGATTGGGATAATGCAAAAAAAGCCCTAGAGACTTCTAAGAGGCCATGGGAATGGATGAATGTTAAATGTGAAATACAGGTGAGGAACACAAAGGATTTGTTATAAGATGGGAGTTATTAGGAGAGTGATGGAGAGTCTGAGTGTATCGTATCAATACCACGAGGTGACCCTATGACCAGTGAGACATGACCATGAAGGCAAATACCATCCTAGGCTGTACCAAAAGCACTGGGCAGGGACAGAAAAGCCTTAGTGCAATCACAGAAAGCTCTGCTGAGGCTCCTCAGGAATACTGGGGGCAGACCTGGACACCTGTATTTACAAGGGCTGACCTGAGCCCTGAAGGGCTCTGAATGACAATTAAGCCATTAGAGAAGGAAAGGCAGTCTGAAGAGCTCTCAGCTTGCTTAACACAGCAACACAGCGTTAGCAAAAATTCCACCTTCAGATGTGGAGGCAAATCTCAGGGACCGGGGAGGAAGTGGGTACCCACACAGCTCTGAGCTACCACTAGCATGAAGAGAATAGAACTGGCCACGAAAAAAGCTCCAGCACAAAACAGGAAGGGCACTTCACCATCAGGTGGCAGGAGGCACTGAGGAGCCTTCCAGCAGGCGCCACCTCTCCTGTCTTCCCTACCTGCTTTTAAGGTGGAGTGTGATTTATTTAGAAAGGGGATCGGTTACGCTGCAGTCTCTACAAAAGCCTCTCTGTGGACTGAAGCATCTTGTAGATCCCTGCATTCCCTGTGACCCATCCTGCACTCTGCCTGGGAGGACAGCTGAATGCAGAGTATTTTTGCCCTCAAATCCGACAAAGGCCAAGGCCCACGAAGATTTGCTGGGATCCTCATAGTGCAGGTGCCCTTCCCTTCTGCCCACAGCACTGGTGACCCCTCCCGGCCAGACCCAGCGTGCTCCAGCTTTGGACTGAATACAGAAGGACTCTCTAGCCTGGACAGAGATACAGCTTAGAGTGTGATCCAGAAGCAACACTGTGAAGGAAAAGGGCATCAACTGCGCACTCTTTTCCAATACAAGAACAAAGGGGCATCATATGAAAAGAGCAGAAGGAAGTTCAAAAACTAGCCAAGGCAGGTAGCTCTTCACATGCATTGTAACCGCATCACGGAGCAGCAAGTCTAGGGAAATCATGGATGCCACAAATTAACCAAAGGAAATAAAGCTGCGGAGGGCTAATAAATAAATGCAAAGGCCACCTCTAGCTCAGGACAGGCCTGGGCCACAGTTTGTCTGATGTTGAGATAGTAATTGGGAAAGGTGTTAACAAGCCTCTTGACTCGCTCTTATTCTCCTCACAGGAACCTGCCCTTGGTGACTGCTGGATGAATCCTGGCCTGAGCCAATACAGCTGCTCTTATGTTCCCAGTTCTTACCGTCTTTCCTGAATGAGAATCGAGAAACACAAGAACGAAGCAATCCGTGAACTTCTGGTTGAGCACAACCTGTCAAGACAGCCACAGCACACATTGCAAAGGAGACAGCACAAACCCCTGGACAGGGATACAAACAACACCCACCCAGGCACATGCTGACATGCAGGACAAGTAGCACGATAGAGCCGTGAAGGTGCAGGTCTGCCTGGCTCATGGGTGACACTGCCAAACCATGGGGATATACATGGCATGAGGCTCTGGGTCTGAAGAGTGACCTGCCTGTCCGAGGTCAGGCAAACAGACACTGCTGCACCAGTAGCAGAGTGGAGAGCAACATCATGACAGTGCCCACGCTGTCCTGACAGCATGTGCCAGGCTTACACTGCAAGAAGCCACAGCAGGCAGGGGAGAGAGGCTACAGGTGGGTGACAGGCTGGGACTTACCAGATATTGGGTGCCGGTTTCAGCATTGTGGAAGTGCCGACAGCTCTGGGGAAAGCGGCTCAACAGCACTTTGATAAGGCTCTGGTACCAGGAGACTGTCATGGTAAGGAAGCACCCCTGTGGGCACAGAAAAGGGCTGATTTCAGCCTCCCTCTAGCCATGGCACCAGCAGCCAGAATGCTACAGTAGCCTTCAGACCCCAAATCAGATGTATTCGTCACAGCCCACTGAGGAACACTGACACAGAGCTACCCACTTTCCACAGACAGGTCCATGCAGCCATCCCCTTCTCCTGCCAGCTAGAAGCTACGTTCCTGCCTCTTATCTTCCCACCCAGCAGGAAGAGATGTGCCCTGCAGGCCCTTCACCCAATGCCCCACTCCCTCCCCAGAGCAGAGCAGTGGCTGCTGTGCACAATGAATCTGTCCCTGCTGCTCACCAGCTGGGGGTCGACATCAGCAATGGATTTCCCATGCACGGCATCGAGCAGCTCCTCCAGCTCCACCAGCGACAGTTTGCCCAGCTTCAGCTTGTCAGAAGCCAGAGGCTCCAGAAGGAAGAGGCGCTTCCAGAGGTTGTCCCTGCGGCAATGGCACTTGGCCAGCTGCACCATACTGCTGAGCTGCTTCTGAGCTGAGGCCACCTCGGAGGCCAACAAGGGGAAGAGTGGCGAGGTGTAGAAGAGCCCAGGTCCCAGTTTGACTTGCGTGCCTCCTGCATAGAACTCGCTGCTGTCCTCCACATCCTGCCACAGCTCCCGCTCTGCTGGCTGCTGCTGCCCCAGGCTCGTCTCTGGCTCCGCTGCCTCC